CAATTGATACTACTGTCGAGCAAAATTCGGGCCCCATAACTTTTTAAGGAGAATCATTTTGCAGTTTTAATTTCCATTTTCGTAAACAGCATTCAAAACCCTATCGATGTATCTGGGTCTGAATTCAAAGTTCCAAGATAAATGGACTACCCCTCCCTGGTAAGACGCCTTCTTCACGTTTTCTTCGTTAACTTTGCACTATTCGGAACTGTTAGTTTGATTATCCGTTAAAAACCCGATCCCCCAAATTATCCTGAACTGAGCCTTCAAGTTCAAGTTTTTTCAATTGCAGGCGACATGCAAAAAATTCACTTCTTTGTTTGAGAAATCTCGATACCAATGACGATGAAGGAGAGCTGTTCAGGTGATGTCGTTACGTGATGATGAGTCGGTGATGGACGTAGAAGGAGTGTCACTTGATCGTGAGACAGCCGTCTACAAGGATCACGGTCACCTTCAGAGGCCTGCGAAGACAAATCGGCGGCAGAGCTTACTTATATGACCTCAGCTACACGTTGATGGCATTTTTTACATTTTCGTTTCTGGTCCACGCCCTCCCTCGTGGCTTCATACATTTCCTCCTGTTGATCTGAGCTCATTAGTACGGGTCGCGGTCTCGAAATCATCTCGTAAACTATTTCTGTTCCCTTCATATTCATCATTTCTCCTTCATTCATTACCCTCTTTTCGATCTAATACGGTTTTCTTAGTATCCCGAAGCCAAACTAATCATCTAAGTTCCTACTATCATTTTCATTACATACGGCGCAATCCAAATATAATATCTGATTTATAAAGAAAACGGCTACTGAGCAGGTAGATTGTAATCCATCATCATGCGTCTACGAGATTTTGGGTTTCCATTGTGTTCGGAACAAGGTTAGTGCGGTGGCGACCTCATTGGTCATGGGGTGATAAAATACTCGATCGTGGTCAACTCGATGTACGCATGTTGTTCAATTTCCGAGGAAGTCCGTCCCCAAACTCGAGAAACCCCTCCTTCTTTTTGAAGGTGCTTTCTCAAAAGCTGCATTCCTTCCCCAGTGATCTCTATCTTTCTTATAAAAACACACTTATTGGCCCGGACTTGTTTTGCGTTTAACATGGAGAACCCCCTTTTTCCCAGATCAATATGTGTCCTTCGAGCTGACGACGTTTAGCGCGTGTCTCAGAGTATTAGCACACCTTGCAATTTGGAGGTCGTTTGATGCGGGTCTCTGACCACAATAGTTCTACTATGTGAATATTACTAGGAACATATTACTTACATACATACTGTCCTACCACCGCTTCTTTTCATCTGTGATGCATGTACTTTTGAAGCTGTGTTCCTCCTCTTGTGTGTATGTGTTATGGGACCAGAATCAAATCTTCTTTCTACCTTGTAATTTCTTATATCAGCAATTCCTCATCCTCACTTCTAACCAAATCGTTGTGTTCCTTTCTTTTGTTAAACATGTGTCTTTCCCTTTTGTCGGCTGGTTAGAATATAGCATCCGTTTGTCGATGACGTCTCTTTTCCCTCTTCCCTCCCTCTCAGTGTTCCTTACGATAGATGTACAATTCATTGAAAACTGACCTTTGTGCACAAAATCCCAGTCAGAATTTTTCGTTGACGGTGTTTTAGTTCTGTGCTGTGAAACAAGTATATTTATTAGATATTTATGGACAAGGTATTTTGTGAAAAAGAAGAAATCTTTTCTCCTTGTTTTTCTACAGAAGAAACACTACATTATGAGCTTCCTCGGATGGGATTCATATACAAAAGTTGTAACGATCAAGAGCTACACTCATTAGGGGCAAGCACTAGAGAAGCGCAAATGAGGGGAAGAGTGGCAGCGGATGGCAGAAACCTTGTAACTCCGAACACCGAGTATCTGACTCTGCTATTCTTATAAATCATAAATGCAGCGAAATAAACAAACGAGGATATGAACTGCACTGGTGAGCAAAACCTAGTGACAAGACTGGTAGAGCAACATAAAGCATTAACGACTCAGTGGAAACTAATGAAAGTGTGGGAGCATATTACTGTAAGTACAATATAACGGATGCCATGCAAGAGAAACTAGATTTCTCTCTGTCGGAGGAGAGCCCAAATAAGGCGCGAAGTACTGCTGCCCGCGCGAGTCGAGGCAGTTAAGGGTACGAGAAAGTTCTGTCAATCGACGAATAGCTACAAAGTACTGTGGTGGTATCCTCCGATACAATACGTCGTTCACAGACTTACGTTATTTAGATGACTTCATACGAGAAGAATCATCGGGAAACTCGGAAAAGGTCAAACCATTATCAGTGTAGCCCGCGAGCTTGTTATGGCTCACAACGTTGTTTCATGTGCATGAAGAGCGTACCAAACCTCTCGTGCTGCTTGCTCGTATGAGAGGAGTTGGTCGAACAAAAAATCGAACAGCTACACTGAGGGATATCCGTTACATTGAGAAGAAGGCGAAAAAAGATTCACCTATATCAGATCTTGGAATTACATGACATTTAACAATACCTTAATGCAAGCCGTTTCACGCATTACAGTGGCAGGATAATTTCACAGCCACGGTCTTTCGCCCGACGGCCACTACGTTGTGTTCCTTCGGCCCTCCCGCATCGGCGAGACCATTCACGGCGATGTCAGGAGCATAGCGAATGGACCTATGAGTAGTGGAGCCATGTGCTTACTTCTCAAGGGAATGAATTCTGTCTGAGCAGTGGTTTTGGAAGCAATATCATATGCCGAGAGGGAACACACAACTTTCGCAGGCGAACTTTGTTGAACGAGGTGATCGTTCCAATGGTTGAGGTGTTGTTGTATCGGTAGGCACCATGTTGCACGGCCGCCTGACTTCTTGATTTCTACGCGTTGAACCCTGACATTATCAGTCAGCGTTACTCTGACGAGATACTCATTCCTCATATGTCTCTATGCGGAACTGTAATCGGTCCTGAATTCACTTTCATGGATGGTAGTGCTCGACTACTAGGAACAGTACAGGTGGAGAAGTTCTTATACGGAGAAGATTTCCGACGAATTTAGTGCTTGCTCGTTCCCTCGACCTGAGTCTCATCGAACGCGTGTGGGATACGCTGGATAGACACATTGCAGCACGTCCAAATGCACCATTGACCATTCATCAGTCTTCAAATGCGCTTATAGATGATTCAAATCCTATCACAGAAACTCTTTACCGACCTCACAGGAAGTATGGATTCGCGTTACAGAGCATGTATTGCTGTCCGCGATAGCCATACACCTTATTAAGAAACGTGTCAATTCTTTCAAAATACAAAGACAAATCAAAAAGACTTTTGTGTAATCCGTATCCTCTAGCAAAAATGTTTTATCTGTTCGTCTTTTTCTGAACTTCTCTCCGCTTTCTGCACAGTAGCGTAATGTCCTCTTGTGCAATCGAAGATTGCATTCGTCCCTAAGTTCTATACACCAGCGTATGAAAACCCGCTATTGACAAATGGAGCGTTTCGAAACAGGTATGATCAGAATATACAGCCTTAAACAGTTTATGGAACAAATACTCATTAAAGAATTGAGTATATTAGCAAAGTTTCATTTTAGAAAGATTGACAATGGATGGAGAATCATTTGCGATTCTATCCTTCCAACCGTGAAAAAAAGATTCTGAGGTTCAGTAAGCTTTTAAATCGACAAGGCCAAGATACCTCAAAATATGGGATGTAATTTAGTCGTGAATCAGAGTGGCTATTTTTATTACAGGTGTTGCTGTTGTGGGTGTGTTTGCAGGTGTTGCTATCGAAACTGCATTTAAAATTTGCAGAACGGTCCTCTGAACGAAATTATGTATGTGGATTTAGGTGAGTTCTCAACATAAGCACACACAACAGACATGGACGTCACTGCTTACAACGGTGACTTGGAGCAGTTTTAAGCGAGATGCTTAATATGCGTGAGATCATATTATAGAACCGGGAATTGGCGGAACGGGATAGGCTTTTTCTTCAAGGACGGGAAATCTTTGTATGTTCATTCCATTGCCTTCAGCAGCCTTTCTGATGTCTGTGACGATTCGGTTCCTACCTAAGTATAATAATGCCAATATCCCGTTGCTCATCCACACACCCTACTTTCACTGTGGAATCTCTGAAGGAAATGCACCCATTGCAAATTTTAGTCTCAAAAAACTTGAACAGAATATATGGAGTCATGCAGTTAGTCTCTACTCACTCCTACACAGCTATGTCTTACCTTTTTGCCAATGGCAACTTGTATGGCAAACAAATTGCGCTAATTCAAAAGGCCTGAATCAACGGGACCCGGAATTTGATAGGTTATCCGGGCCCGGGTTATCAACTCATAAGCCCGGGTTCATCAACTGTTGTACAGGAGATGTTGTACAGGTATATTTACTGGAAGAGTGAGCCCTGCTCTATATCTCGGTTCAAGTTCTGTTAACATTCTTTAAAGTCTGTCTGTATACGGCTCATGTGAAATTTGCCCTTCTACAGCATAGGCAAGAATACGGCTGAGGCCGCGAGAAGGATTTGGTACGTTTGAATAGACATGCTCTAGGGGAAGTACAGTATGAGAATGATTCGCGAAATTTAAACAGGGTGAATTCACACTCGAAAGCAACTCTTAGGAAGACTATCACCAGTTGAAAACGACAAATCAAAATACCAATCGTACGAATCGGCAAATCGCTACTCTTGGAATAGGAAGAGGACTGAATGTTTCGAAATCACACATCCATGTTCATTCGCTGGAACTTGGATTTGTTAAGTACCCTGATGCTTGAGTACCTCACGAACTGAGTGAGCGCAATGTGATGCACCGCGCCTCCATGTGCGTCTCGTTGCTAAAACGGAACAGAAATAAGCTGTTTCCAAAAAGTATGAAACGGGGGACAAAAAGTGGGTGGCGAACGACAACGTGGAGCGGAAACGATCGCGTAGCCTTCCCAGCCGTCACAGACTACTCCAGAAGTCAAAATTCAGGTGAAGAATATTATGGTGGGTTGCTGGTGGAATTGGAGGGAAATCATTTATTATGAGCTATTGCCGCATAGTCGTACGATATCTTTGGAAAGGTACTGTACTCAGCTGAACAATTTATAGGCAGCGATAGACCAGAAGCGCCCAGAAAGGGTCAATGGTCAGGGCATTGTCTCCAACAGGACAATTCCAGACCACACGAATTTTTGATCACTCGTCAAAAGTTGCTGGAGCTTGGGTGGGATGCCTTACCACACCCATCATATAGCCGAGCCAGAGCACCATCAGACTACCGCTTCATTGCTTTACTCTTGTATGTTACGCTTATGAAGCGTACGCCCGAATATTGAAGGCTCTCTCTCCATGCGTTGAAAAGCAGAACCTAGCACGGAGGAGCCGATGGTTCGCTACTGCACAGAGCTTTGGGACGAAACGACGTGGGGCAGAATAACTTCTGATTGAAAATTATGTGATCCATTTCATTACGGAACTGTCCACCAGTTGGCTCCCAAGCTCACTGAGAGTGGAAGAACTTTCTGAACTGCAAATGCCAAGAATGGTGTGAGTCGACATGATGAGCTCCGACAATTTTCACCCAGCGCATTCCATTCCGTTCCGTGAGTCACGATATATAGCTCCTAATGCGTTCTTCTGGGGGCGGCTCCGGCGTGCATATCACCAGCGATAATCTCGAAGAAATGTAGCCTTTAAGGAGATGTTCCAGGTCCATCCAAAATCCTTCCAACTCCTATTCTTCGTAAATGTTTGGGCGTAGGCAAAGAAGGCTGTTGTGTCTTCGATTGAGCCACGTCTCCCTTATCGCTAACAACCTATTCGAGTTGTAAAGTTTTCGTACGGTGCGACGATCATGGTCAATGTGTGTTGAAGGGGGGTACGAGCACCGCCGACGCCTCTGCTCACACCGCATGTTTTGATAACAATTCTTCTTCAATCTCGAAGATAGCGAGCAGCGATTGTTGTCTTCTTATCTCGGTCACTCCGATGATGTCGTATCTTACTCCAGTCTCTATTCTCTTAGGCAGCCTGTAATGACCCTGAAATTTTAGCGGCCTCTTCTGACAATGAGTGGTCCCATACAACGTTGCTGTATTGATGGATCCCTGTGACTCAGGGAACTGGGCCTACCCATATTATTGTTTTGGCATATAGAAGCCACAAATAGCTTTCCAGGCTCTAGATTGGGCTTGGTAGACTCTAAGTAGCTAGCCAGACTATCTCAAAGTTGTCAAGAGTAATCTGGTGCGGGGGTCCCCGCACCGCTGACCTCTCATACTTCTGCAACCCACATGTATGAATATAACCTTTGTCAGTATATGCAGTGAATAAAGAGACTATCCGGTCGTATGGAATGTTGGAGATCAGCGAGTAAGTAGTAAAGGCGCTAGCTGTTGGAGCTCGTGGGGCCCAGAGGTGACAAGCAGGAGGTGTAGTGGCAGTGGACGTCGAGCCTGATGGTTGGACTGAGACGTTGTCGACTGTATTCCTCGGGAAGCTGGTGGCGAGCCTTAAAGACGCGTGATGACATGAGTCACGGATACAGTGAATTGACATTCCCATGCGCGAGGGTTAAGCAATGTTGCACAATCTCTCTATATATAATCCACAAGTTTGGTGTGTCTGTATGTGTGTATGTATGTATGT